AAATCCTCTGGCTGCCCCTCCTTTGGAGGCCAGCCCAAAGTCCTCCGTGCAGAGCCCTCTTCCCAGGGTGCCTCCAGCCCCAGGCAAGGCGTGATTTCCAGGGGCTGATGTTCTCCATACCTATAAAACCACGTGCATCTACTCAGTTCCTTCTGTCTGACAAGCCTAGCGTGGTTTCTGATTCTCTTGCCAGGCCCTGGCCAATAAGTCATTTATGTAAATTAAAAATAGTACATGCTGGAGGTAGAAAGCATGGGCCTGAGATCAGGATGCCCAGGGCGGAGGCCAAGTTCTGCCCCAAGCCATGTGCACCTGAGCTCTTCCTCATCTGTCTCGGACTTCGGCTTTCTGGCTTGTAATGTGGATGTGCACTGTCCCTCCAGCACACATATAATTTTCACAACCTTTTTGTTTTCCCACACATACTGCAAACGCAAGGATATCTATGTGTCACATAAAAGCAGTTGTCTATGGGGTAGACATGCACGGGAAGTTGTGGACTGACCAGGACAACTGGACACCTCCAATCTGAATTTGAGGTTCCCAGGATGGAGTCTTTGTGTCCTTCGTTCACGGGGACGCTAGCCAAGTTAGGGGGTAATGTCTGACTTAGACACAGCGCCCGCCACACAGGACACATGGAAGGGGGCGGGTCCGGGTGTCTGTCTAGAAGCCTGTCCCCGTCCAGTCCTGCGCCTGGAGAGAGGACCTCGGCGACAGAACCAGCCCTTCCAGCCCGCAGCACCTGGGAAACAAAGCAGGGTCGGGCACCAGGGCGCTTCCCCCGTCCACCAGCCCACGTGCTACCTTCCAGAAGGATGCCTTACACTCTCACCCCTGCTTCCGGAGCTAGGTGCTGGCTTTTAGTCAGTCCCTGTCCCTGCCCTGAGGACGGGTAGGAGGCAGCTCCGGCCGGCAAGGCTGCGCGCGCCATCTAGTGTCCGAATGGGGAACCGACTCTAAGCGCGCGCTCTGAGCCGGGATTTCCGGCTACTGCTCGAGCTCTCCAACTTCCATCTGTTTTTTTAAAAAACTTCATAGCTTGCCACTTTGCAAATATTGGGAAATCATTTTGCCTCGCTATCTTCAAGGAGTAACTCTCTTGAGCCCACTGCCAGTAGAACCCGCACAAGCTGCCAGGCAATTACCTAACCCCAAGGGGCTGTTACAAATTGGACTTTCTAGCCATTGAAATCCCCCCATCCGCATGCACAGAGCTGTAGGAAACTCAGGATGCGTATTTCATTTTTAGAATCCCTCGGGGCTACCTGAGTCTTCCCTAAGAGAAAAATCTCTCTCATGAGGTGTGAAGACATCTGCTTCCCAGAGTCCCCACCACTACTCTAAATAACAATTTCAATACCAGTTGTTGGTTCACGTTTAAAATTCAGAGCTTGGTTTTCTTTTCTCCTTAGAAGGGAAGAAAGGCTGGCTGTTTTAGGGCTCATCGAGCCCTAATTTCTCCACAATTCTGGATACATGGCTTTGCTGTTGCACCCTGTATTGGACTGATTGTTGCACCCACAACCAGCTGGATCTTGAAAAATCAACCTTGGCTGCAGCTGCTAGAAAGCGATCTTGATTTCTTTACAATCAGCTAATGTTTTCTTTGAAAAGGATAGAAAAAGAAGAGAAAAAAAATTCATGCAGTGAGTTAAGGTGCAAAACTGGGAAACTGGAAGTTGTTTTGATTTTATTTTGTGTGGGTTCATTTTTTATTCTGAAGACCAGAAAGGAAGACCAGAGACAAGCACTTGGGGTGAACACGAATGAATTCAGAAATATCAAAGCAGACAATCTTGACCTTGTGTGCAGAGAGAAAATAGGATGTTTTGTGTCTTTTCCATCAAAGACTTTATTGCTGTTTTGACCACCCCAAAATTGCCAGGAACACCTTTCTCTAATAGCACGGCCAATGATTTCATTTTGCCTTAAGGCCGCCGCCACTCAGCAGCTCCCAAGATTCTCCAGTTCCCCATGAACCCTGTGCCATGGGTGTGGGAGGCAGCAGAGGCCAAGGGAGGTGCAGGTAGTACTGGAAGTGGGAGAGATTTCCTCTCCCCTTTTCCAGGCCTTGGGAGCTCACCAACACGCTTGAAGGAATTGCCTTTTTGTTGTGTAGTGTAGCTGGGTTTTGACAGGCCTCTTCTGCTTTTCAGTAAGCTTCTCAATTCAAGCAATTTCACGGCTTCTTTTCTGCTGCTGAGGCCCATTTGCGGCAGCAAAGTTGTTAGACACTGCCGCAGGCTGAGAAGCTAAATTGCTAAGCAGCCTCACTTTGCGGTGGCTGGATTGGCTCTGGGGATTCCACTGGTGACCTGGGGACACTTCAGCCATAACGGGGCAATCGGGGCAGCTGGAGGGGGACAGTGTGCGCTGGTTAATTACCCGGCACAGATGGATGGCTGAGAGCTCTCTGTGTACTTACTTTCGATGAATTGGAATATCATAAAATAGACCTCATTCATTCATGTAACAAGCCTTTATTGAGAGCTGTGCAACAGCGCTGCTGAATGCAATTAGCTGATTAAAAGAGCTATGCAGAAGGGGGAAGAGAGTTCCAGGCAGAGGGAGCAGCGAGTCCAAGGTCTAAGTCATATGCTTGGTCTTTTCGAGGAAGAACGGGAAGGCAGTACAGCTAGCTGCAGGGCAGATGGTGAGGACAGGGCAGGGATGGGGCATGAGTCTTCTGGGACACAGAGGGGACTTTGGTTTGTTTGTATTTGTTCATTTATTTGTTTATATGGGGGAATCTTTGGTTTTAGGCTAAGTAAGTAAGAAGCTACTGTGAAGTTTGAAGACCATGGTGTTTCTAGCCCCATAGGGACCTGAAAATGTCGTAGCTACGAGGATGAAATCCCTCCTCTGCACCGTACCCAGCCAGTTTCACCGGTCTCTCTCCACTCCATCTGCATGGGCATCCACCACAGCGCTCTGATGCCAGCTCCTACCTACCCTTCAAGACCCAGCGTAGCTCTCACTTTCTTGGTTTTCCCAGGCTGAGAATTCCCCTCTGACGCAGAACGCCTTGGACCCAGTCCACTGCAGCAGGTCCACGCCATCTCTGTAAGGGCCTCTGTGCCTTCCCAGACTGGTGGTCCTCAAGGGGGAATCTGGTGCCAGGCACGGTCGGAAGCAGAGGAGGTTTGTTGAGGTCCCCTCGGATGAGTGAGGAAATGAACAGGCGAAGGAGAAATGGAAGAGTGCTAACCCATTAACTCCTGTCAGCCACCCTGGAGCATGAGCTTAGGCTGGGCACAGGCTGCCTGGGTTAATGCCCAGCCTGCGCTGACTACACCTAAGTGCAGTGGGCAATGTGCTGCCCTTTGATCTCCTCATACCTAGAAGAGGACCGATGGAGTTGATGAGCAGATTACACAAGTTAGTACATAAAGGCGCTTGGAGCGGGAGCCTAGCGCAGTAATCACTGGTAAGTGCCAGCATTACTAGTGTGGTGAGAGCCACCAGGAACGGGAACGGGAGGGGAAGGTGTCCAATGGGAAGTGGAAATCTCCCACCGCTGCTTCTCCCCCTGCGTTGCCCTCTGCTCTGAGCCCCCAGTGCCATTCATTCCTAAAAGGCCTACCTGGGAGGTGCTGGAGGGAACCACCTTCTCGTTAATTTCCCTGAAACACCAAGGGAAAGTCAAATTGCTTTATTTCCAAACCGTTCTTCACCTTCTACAGAAGGAACCGCTTAAGGGAGTTGGAATGAGGGTGGGCTTGGAGCCAGACACCTGGACTGGAGCTTGTGTGTGTGTGTGTGTGTGTGTGTGTGTGTGTGTGTGTCTGTGTGTGGTACGAGGGATCAAACTCAGGACCTTGCTCTTGCCAGGCAGGCGTCGGCACCACTGAGCTAAATCCCCGGCCCTGGACTGGAGCTTTTGATTTGCCACTTGTCTCGTAAGCGGCCGTGGGTAAGTGTCGTCACCTCTGAGTCAGCTGTAGAAAGAGACTGATGGTCAGAACCCTACCTTGGTGGCCGCAGTAGGCTTAGGCAATGGCTACTCACTCAGGCTATTCCAGCTCAGCTCCTGGCTCTGCCCTCTGTTGGCTACAGATCTGGATAAGCTACCTATCTCTCTGTGCCTCCATTTCCTCAACTAAAAATCAGGTAGTAATAGCTCCCAGCCTGTTGTGAGCGAGTGGAAGTATATCTTCTCCAAATTCATGTTTAAATCCTAAGCCCTAGTAACTCAGAATCTGACTATATAGAATACAGAGAAAGGGCCTTAAAAGAAGCGAGTAAGATAAAATAAGGCCAACAGGATAGGCCTAACCCAACAGGACTGGCGTTCTTATAGATGAGGCGATTAGGACGGGTAGATGGAGAGAAGGCCATGTGATGACCCGAGAAAGACGGCCATCTACAAGCAGGGAGACGGTTCTCAGAAGAAGCAGATCCTGCCAGCACCTTGATCTTGGACTTCTGAAACTGTGAGAAAATAGATTCCTGTTATCTAGGCCACTCAGGCTGTAGCCCTTTGTTATTGCCACCGACACAAACTGATACACACACCCCCAGATGGCTGTGGGGCTCCAGGGCTTTGAACATGGGTCAGCTCAGCTCGTCTTGGGAAAAGCTTTGGCCCATACAGGGTCTGCAGAGATATGCTGCCTTGGAAGGAATTCCCTTCTCTCAGCTCTACTCTGACACAATGTCTTTCCATATGTACTTTCTCTTTGCTTTTCAAAAAATAATTTTTGTGCTGTCTCCTTTGCCCCACACCATGAAATGTCCCCTTCCGGTTCCTGACTCATTTCCGGTCCCTGCCTTAGTGGCTGGGCCCCATTTCCGCTGTCTCAGTTCTGGCCCAGCCTAGGGCTGGGAGGTCAGCTGAGGGCTTCTGGGGCCTCCTTCCTCGGCCCCTTTCTCCTGGAGCTCGGCTGCAGACCTCACCACTTAGCCTCAGAAATCACGGCATGGCCGCCGTGTGTGGCATCTTCAGGCGCCGGGTGTCACATGTGGGAGGAGTAAAGCAGATGTTTCCCTACCTACAGGGAGCCTACAGTCTAATCAGCAGGAAGAGAACAGGACTGCTGACTAAAGAAATCCTTATCAAAGGCGCCATCTTAGTCACTTTCCTCGTTGCTGCGACAAAACACTTGACACCAGCCATTTAAAGGAGGTGAGGTTTATTTTGGTTCAGGAGTCAGAAGTTCCAGTCAGTATTTGGCAGGCGTACACACAGAAAGGGTATGACAGAAGGTTCTGGACAGAGGAAAGCTGCTCCAGTCATGGCAGCCAGGAACCAGTGAGAGGAGGGAGGAACCCAAGGGGACCCCATGCTCTTCCAGGCCCGATTCCAGTCACAATCCCAGTGACCTACTCGAACCAGGCCCATCTCCTAACAGCAAGTCAGGTGTGCACCCCGGTGTTAAATCATCTTCCAAAGGCCCGCCTCTGAGTACACGAGACCCTTGGGGGACATCTAGATATAAATCAGAACAGGCAGCACGAACGGGAAAGATGGCAGGTGTTGTGCTAGAGAGAAAGAGGTTCAGGGAAGGGCTGAGAAGGCACCCTACAGGCCGCTGAGGCCACAGTGTTGAAAAGGCCTGAGGAGGGAAGGGGCCAATGTGCTGAGGAACAAAGAGGCTGGAAGTCACAGAAGGAGCCAGGGCCCCCACCTGCCCTCCGTCCGCTGCCTGGTCCTCCTCCCCCTCCTTCCCTTCTCCCTCCTCTCCCAACACATGATTGTGGCATGGGCCTTGGGACAGTAGTAGATGGAGACATCTTGGGACAGATGCCTCCACTGTGCACCCTCTTCCTGATCTATGCAGGGGGGCAGCCATCATAGCAGTAGCCTACATGGTGCAGTTGTGAGAATGCAAACCGTTTATTTGTATCGGTAAAGTCCTCACACGTGGGAAGAGCTCTGTCATGTGATGTTTTCACCCCTCCCTAGCAGCACCACAGGTGACAGCCACTGAGCACCTACTCTGTGCCAGGTATCTGAAAGCTTTGTATGGGAGATCTCGCTTGGTCTACCTGACAGCCCTTCAGGACAGAACGGTCATAATTTCACTGAATTTTACATTTCTACCAGTTGGGAGGCGCTGTGGAGGAGACAGACACATTCTCCCTTGCACGGCTGATGGCAAAGCACAGAGCAGAAGGCATTTCCTCCAGTGCTCAGTGAGCAAGAAGCCAGTAGTGCTGGCAGCTTCCCTCAGGACGGCTTTCAGGGTGCACCACTCCTTTCTTCTCAGAAGAAGGGGACCGTGGGCCCCAGGGTGGAGCGTTATTGTCTCTGCAGAGCAGGCCCAGCTGAGGGTGCAGCAGTGCCAGTCAGGGCGAGTCCTGGCTGCCAAAACACTCAGCACCTGTCTCCCTGACAGAGCCTCCTGCCAAGCTCTCTGGGCCTTTCTGATTGGCCCCTGGGACCAAGGCCATCCCTGGATGCTTCAGTGAAGGCCACTCACCATGGAGCCTCTCTCTCCACTTCTTTGTGCTGGATCGCACGCAATTACTTTTGGCGGCAAGCAAGAATGACCGTAAGAAATAGTGGCTTAAATAAGATAGCTGTTCCTTTCTCACGTTAAAACCCAGTCAGCATTCCAGGGATGGGGAGGCACCTCCCCAAGCCTCGGGAGCCCACACTCCTTCCAGTTCCTGCCTGTCCATCCCCAGGTCCAGGATCAGCTTCCTGGTACAGCATTATACCTATCGTGCCAGACCTCATAGTCTTGTTCCTGGCAGAGGAAGAGGTATTTATCCACTGTCTTTTAAGGCACATCCCTAGAAGAGTCAAGTGACAGTTTTCCTTAGTTCCTGTTGGCCAAAATTTAAGCCAATATTCATACACAGCTGCAAAGCAGGTTGGAGAATGTGGCTTTTATTTGGAGCCTACCTAAAAATTATGGAATCTGTTTCTATGGGAGAGGAGAAAATGTATTTATTTTTACAGAACTATCTAATAATCTCAACCACACTTTCTCTCCCCCAAATTTTCCAACAGAAGAGAAATTAACATTTTCTGTAATATGCTAGGCATTGTAGACTTCACCATAAGGTAAGTCACTTGGCCACTGAACAAAAAGTGTAAACCAGTTGTGATGGTTTTAAGGCAGGAGATTAGGGCATAGGCTACTGGCTGGGCAAGAGGGTGTAACCTGACAGTCATGGAGATCCAGCACACTTGTACAGAATAACAAATCCTGAGCCCTGCATCACAGACCAATCGGCATATGCCATCGCCAATTCTTCTGGTGTGAAATCAAGCAGATTTTTGGCAGGATGACCTATATCTGATGATCTCAGCCTGAAGAACAGGGGGGTACAAAAGATGTCAGCCATTAACCTCGTGGCCACTGTGCTCTCTCTTTCTCAGTGGTCCATTCTAACTCTGCACAGCATGCTTCTTCCCCTACCTTTAATAAATGTAAAACCTTGCTACCTTTTTCACTTTTCCAATTCCTTTTTTTTTTTTTCAGAACTTCAGAAGGATCCTTGAAACAAGCCCATGGCCTCCCAGACTCTGGTAACAGTATGGTACTAGCACTTTTGGAGGTGAAGGCTGAAGGATAGAAAGCTTAAGCCCAGCCTGGGCAACATAGTAAGCTTACTGTGACTCTGTCTCAAAATAATAATAATTTTTAAAAGCTTAAAGGGCTGAAGTTGTAGCTCAGTGTGAAGGTGCTGGGTTCAATCCTTAGGACAGCAAAAATAAATAAATAAATAAACAAACAAACAAACTAAAGCAAGATAAAAAAGAAAAAGTGTGGACGAGTAGATAAGTGTAGGATTCCTCATTCTTACTTAGCCCTTTACAAACCAAGTAACTAAACCTCGGCTTTCTAATAAACAAAATGAGGATCATGACACCTCTATCTTTGGGTTGTCAAGAGAATTAAAGAAGGCAGATAAAGTTCCTGGCACATGGAGCTTGTCCTGAGCTTTTCCAAGATACTAGTTTTTCTGAGCTCTAATGTCCTCACTGACAAAATAAAGATCTGATGAGATCGTGATGAGAATTAAAGGAGACAATGGCTACAAAGTATTTAGCACAATGCTTAGTTCTTTAAAAACACAACAATTGTAGGATGCTATTATTCAAGGCTTTCAAAATTTCTACATCAAAATATGATTTTCAAAAAATAAATATTACTCATAAAATATACTAAGAATACATGTCAACGTGTTGTTATTCAAACTCATGAAATAATGAGGGAATCAGTAAAATGGCAAAGTTTACTTAATATTTGAAGTATTTGTAGGCAAAAGAAAAAAGAAGAAGCAAAGAAGAAAAGGGAGGCTAAAAGAATATTAGAATAAGGTTGCTAGGTTGGGTATAAAACTGGTTAATGGTCTACATGGCAATAAAACTATAGGTCATCTTTTCTACAGTAAGAAATCATTTCCATCTGTATAGGATGAACATCTGCATGCCCACAAGTAATTCTCAGGGTCTGGGTGCTATTCAGTAGTAAATAATGAAGCCAAATATAATTAGGTTCTCCTGGAGAAATAAAGAATTCTTGGTGAACCCAGATGCTCTGGCATGACTTTGAAATGGCATGCCTTGGACGTGCATGAAAACGTTACATTTAAAAACCCATATTTAATCCCAGTACAAAAAAGCACCCATAAATATGCAATCACATGTCAATCAAAAGTGAAAATAAGGTATGCAGTATATTTTCTTTGTTTCTTTCTTTTTTTTCTTTCTTTTGCAGTACAGGGGATTGAACCTAGGGCCTCCACACTGAGCTACATCCTCAGTCCTTTTTTAAATAGGGTCTTACTGAGTCACTAATGTATGACTCGTCTAGACTGGGTTCAAACTTGTAGTCCTCCAGCCTCAGCCTCCCAGAGTGAAAGGGTTATAGGTGTGTGCCATCATGCCTGGCTGGGAAGTCTTTCGTAGCAGAAAATAAGTCTCAATTCTTGAGAGACATTTGTCGATTTCCTCATGGTGACTTGAGGACCTAAAAGAACCATCCCTCTCCCTGAGTTCTCACTGGGGTTTGCAAGCAGGACAGGCTGGGAAAGAGGGCCAGACAGATCGATATTGACTTTATTATGTGTTTAGTCTGCTTTGTGTTGGTATAGCACAATACCTGAAGTGGGGTAACTTATAAAGTAAAGAGGTTTATTTGCCTTAAAAACTGTAGTGGCCAGAGAGCCCCGGTGTCCTGCTGAGGGCCTCAGACTTCGTCCCAAGCTGGCAGAGAGGCTGAAAAGGAACAGCTGCATGTAGGAGGAGCACGAGTACAAGAGAGTGGTGGGGACAGCGAGAGCCTGGTCCTGGCGGATGGAGTTCTGTGGGGACCCCTCCTGAGAGTTGAGGCCCATGAACCAGTCGGCCCCATGAGCCTCTCTGCTACACAGACCAGGCGCGTGAATTTGGAGTGCAGCGCTCCTCAGACCCGGAGAGCGGCTGTCCAGCCCTGGGGAGACTCACAACCAGGCCGAAAGACCCTGAGTCAGGCAGGCAAGGAGGTCTCAGAGATGGCCTAGGCCCACCCACGGGATGCCTGCAGCCAGGTCACTGTCACTGTTTTACAGACTCCAGGTTAAACACCTCACTCAAAGTCCCAGGGCCCGCAGGGGGAAGCCCCTGGAGTGTGCAAAGCCCATTGTCTTCCCCTGGCCACCTTGGCCTCTTTGCCTTTTCAGATCTGCCCTTCAGGACAAAAGGGCTGAGCCCACTCCTTTGTACTTTCCGCTCTCCTGTTAATTTGAACCAGCACTTTGCTTCTCGTGGAACGTTTTGCCTTTTAGTCCTAGTCTTTCTAAAATGGGAGGCAAGATGTTGACCTGGCTGAAGAATCAGTGGCCTGCAGCTGGAGTATGTGGTCCTGGCAGGCAGGGAACTTCCTCCTGTCCCTGAAAGCCCGACACCCTCAAAGCGAGAGGAGGAGGCCATCTCCAGCCAGTAAGCAGAAAGAGGTCTGAGCAGGTAGGGGACTGACTGCTTTAGCAGCCAGGTGTCGGCTCCTCTTACAAGCCGGTTAGGTTTTATGAGCAAATGTTGGCCTCCAGGCCCAAAGATGGAAGTAATAAGATCCTCTGAAATATTCAGACTTATAAGATTGGATGTGGCTTAATTGCCTGTGAAGAAGTTATTTCAAGGCCCACCCGGGTCTTTGTAGAGCCTGAGATCTTTCGTGATGCTGGAGGGTGCAGGAGAGAACAAGTTAAATTCAATAGCGCTCATTACTATACACTTTCAAATCATTTATTAGTGAAGCTCGGATGCCCGTGGCCTGGAAGAAAACACATTCTGTTTCACCCAGTGACTAAGTAACTCATAATCAGATGCGGTCTGTCTGCCTCTCTCTCCTGGCCACCTCTCTAGCTGGAGTCAGGCCCCTGACTTGACAGAGAAGCCTGGCTGTGCCTCCTTCCCACCACCTGCAGGACCCCTGCTCACACAGCCCCTCTGCAGGGCTCCTTGCCCCTCTTCTAACTTCTCAGGTCCCAGGAGAGGGGACAGCAGGGTAGCTCTCTCCAGCAGCATTCTTCCTCCTCCGCTTATTAGATATTTGTCGTATTTACCCTGTTTTGTTCCAGGCACTGGAAGGCGGCAGTTAACGAAATGGGCAGTCTCCAGCTCTCATGCAGTTTACATTCTGTTCCAATCCTGTAATCGAGGAGCAAGGGCTTTACACTAAGCTATTCACTTACTCAGCCAACAAACACTGTGAGCCTGCGCTGTGCCTGGTACTGTTGTGGGTGTGGAAATCAACAGGGACCAAGATAGACAAGTCCTTGCTCTCTGGAAGTTAACATTCTAAAAGGGTTAGACAATAACCAAATAAATAGAAGTATTAGGTGGTCAGAAATTCATGTAAGGACGTTGGCTCAGTCCGTTTTCTGCAGCTACATATACCATACACTGGAAACTTAGAAATAACAGAAACATTTGTCTCCCAGTTCTAGAGGCTGAGAAGTCTACAAGCCTGGCACTGGCATCTGTCAAAGGTCTCTGGGCTGCATCAGAACATGGTGAAGAGCAAGAGAGGATCTGCAAGATGGAGAGGAAACGGGCCAAACTCAATCATTTCTAGGAGCCTACTCCCGCTCCACTTTCTCCAAGGCTCTGCCTCTCTCCCCACCCCCATACTGGGATCGAACGCAGGTCCTGGAACTTGCAAGGCAGGCAGCAGAACCACTGAGCTAAATCCTCAGCCTTAAGGCCCTGCCTCTTAACTCACAATGACAAGTGAACTTCATCTTGAGTTTTGGAGGGACGGTCAGACCATAGCAATCATAAAAGGGACAGGCAGGTGATGGTACCAGCTTAGTCACAGCAGTCAGGGGAGCTCTCTAATGAGGCAGCACATGGGCAAAGAGCCAGAGGAGGTGGATGACAGTCACAGCCTGTGTGGATAAGGCCTCCCAGGTCCTGCAGATCTTGGCTTTGATCTTCACCTCCATTCTGCTGGATGGTAGGTAAGCTTCCATGATCTTGGCTTATGGATAAGAAGCAGGGTTTCAGAGGAGTGATCTGACATGAAGGAGAGTCTAAAGCCAGGATGTCCAACAGAGTCCAGAGTTCCCTATGTAGAACCAACAGGTTTTGTCCCAGAGCCTTGGTCTCTGGAGATCCAAAGCTCACAATGACACAGCACTTAAACTGCCTCTTCCTCTGCCCTCCACAAGCTGCCTAGCATCCTGACAAGACTCCTGGGACTCTAAATGCTAGCCCCTGGGTGTGAATCTCAAGTCTGCTCTTAGTAGCTGTGTATGACTTCAGGTAAGCTGCTTGACCTCTCTGGTAAGCTGCTTCCTCATGTGTAAAGTGGGGCTTTCACAGAAACTACTCTGAGAGCTGAAGGGAGGGTGAAATAGTGAACCAGCTGCTCACAGGAAACACTATGTGAGTGCCCCTGGCAGTACAGCTCTGCCTGTCCCAGTCATGTGTGTCTTATTGGCTGAAGCATGAGTTATGTGATGGCTTGGGCTGGGTCCCCTAAAAAGTTATACTCAGGTGCTAACTTGAGGTTCCCGTGAATGTGACTTTATTCGGAAATTAGGCCTTGGGAAATACAATCAAGTTAAGAAGGAGTCATACTCGGTTAGGGTGGGCATTCATCAAAAGCGACTGTGGCCCCCATAATAAGAAAAGAAGGGACACAGACAGAGCCACTAGAAGAAACCATGTAAAGACAGAGACAAGGGTGGAGTGATGCAGCCACTGGCCAAGGACCAACAAGGCCACATCAGAAGCCAAGCAGAAGCATTAGGCAGCTCCTCCACTGGAGCCTCAGAGGGAGCATGGCCCTTCTGACCCCTTGACTTCAGACATCTGGTCTCCAGAACTGTGAGAGAGCACATTCTGTTGCTTGAAGCCACATGGTTTGTGGGATGCTGTCACAGCAGCCCTGGGGCTCTGGATGGGCAGAGACAGTGGCATGAGCCCTTCAGGATCCTCAAATTTCTAACCTGTGGCTTTAATAATACAACTTCAAGGGGGCCTCTTCAGGCTGAGTCTGAGTCACAGGGTTGCCACAGATGCCTGGCTCAGAGAAAGTGAGATTTCATGACCTTTTCCGAACCTCATCTGAGCACTTACAAAGCCATCCATTTAAACAGATGAGATCAGAAATATGGGTCTTCACTGCCACTTATGTGGAACTCGGATTGTAAGATGCATGGGACAGAGAATCAGAGTGATGTGGCCAGAATTTGGTGTACTAGGCAGGAGGACCCACTCAAGACAGGAAGAAAAGTTTGTGGGCCCAGAGCCACAAGCTTTCAATAAAAATATCAGAACAGGCTAAAATGGAACTGCATGGGTAGATGCAGGATCACTGCTGCATGGATATTTCAGCAATATATTTCATCTTGAGGTAGAAGGGACTGAAAAATTCTGCTTGCATGTTATGGTGTTGGAGTAATAGCTTTGAAGGTGGGTAGATCCTGGGTTTAGTGCCGGCTTGTTGCCTCCGGGGAACGCCACCTCCAAACTCCCTCCGTGACTTTGGGCTTGTCTGCTTCTCCATAAAATGGAACAAAGAACTAACATCCAGGGCTCTAGAAGTGCAATAAAGTTGCTCAGCGTAGTGCCTCTGTTAGTCAGCTTCTTTATTGCTGTGGCCAAATACCTAAGATAAATAACTTGAGGGATGAAAGGTGCATTTGGTTCGCAGTTTCAGTCCATGGTCACTTGGCTCCCCTGTCTTGCTGTGAGGCACAGCATCATGACAGCAGGGTGTGGTGAAAGAAGCTGCTCACCTCATGGCAGCCAGGAAGCAGAGAGAGAGAGGCAGCAGTACAGGCCCCACAGTGACATTCCCACGGCCTCCTCCTTTCAACTAGGCCCCATCCCATTGTTTCCATTACCTTCCAACAATGCCCTCAAATTAGGATCCCATCAGCAGACTGATTCACTGGTGAAGTTGCCACCCTTGTGACCCACCTCTGAATACACGAGACTTCAGGGTACATTTTAGGTCCAGACCATCACAGTGTCCGACTCATTCCAAGTACAGAGACAATGATAGCTCTTATCATTAGGACTGATATTTAACCCATCTCCCCAACTAAGTGCTGTCTCCTCCAGCAGGACCCCTGGCCTATCTGTGAATGTCACCAGCCCAGTCCTCTCTGAGTGTCACTGTTTAGCACATCCTGTGCACGGAAAGATGTGTCCTTATATGGAAGCTCTCCCTTGCTTAACTCTGCCTTAGGTTACAGAAAGTTACTCTCATCAAATGGCCAAGAGTATGGGCCTAAGGTCTGTGTTCCAACCCTACCTCTTCCACTCAGGAGTCGTTTTTAGGCCAATTAATGGCCCTCTTACTGACCAAATGGCCGCCACAGGTACATTACTCAATATGTCCTCTGTGCCTCCATTTCCTTGCTGAGAGGTGGTATGATGATGATGATGGTGATTATGATGTCATGGTTTAGATCTAAAATGGCCCCCAAAGCCTGATGTGTTTAGAATGCGTTTGGATTATGGGGGTGCTATAACTGACCCACCCTTAGGAGGCAGGGTCTGGTCTGAAGAGGTGAATCACTGGGGGCGTGACCACGAAGAGTGTGTCTCCCTCCTCAGCTCCTTGCATTTCTCTCTGCTTCCTGGCCGCCGTGATGTGAACAGCTCTCCTCCAACAGACCCTTCCTCCATGCTGCTTCTGCCGTGGAGCCAGCTGACCATGAACTGAAAGTATGCACCATCATAAACCTCTCCTGCTTTAATTTGTGTGTGTCAGGCATTGTGTTATAGCTATGAAGAAAGTGACTAACATCTATCCCATACGGTTATCATAAGGTTCAAATTAATGATATACACAAGACACTTAAAAGCCTGATGTATACCAGATGCTCAACAATTAACTGTTACTGATGTAACTCTCATCCCTTTGTTAAATCTTATGTCCATCCCCAAATTCATTTTTAACTTCAATAACTTATACCTCAGTCATCCCAGTGATCCGTCAAAGCACCAGCCACGGCCCCAAGTCAGGTCTGGCTTCACAGATATCCAACCTGGCCAGTGCCCAAGGTCTACTCTTGGCCAGAATGCTCACAGAATTTTCCATTTGAAAATTCTGATGATTTTTATCATTTTGTACTAGGTCCTGTCCATTGTGAAGCTGGTCCTCCCCAGAATCTGGACACTGCTGGCCTATTATCTTCACACATCAGTGGGGATGGGCAGGGCTGCCCCCTGGAGAGGCTGGTTTCATTTAGTTACTTTTCTCTTGTTGAAACAAAATACTGGACACCCCAAGTGAAAAGAAGAAAGGTTTATTTGGCTTACAGTTCACAGGGATTTCAGCTCATAATCTGCCAGCTCCAAGGCAGGGTGGCAGAGAGCTAAGAGTTCATGGCAGTGAAGCAGCAAAAGCAACAACAGACCTTAACTGTATCCTTCTGCTCCATTTACCTTATTCAGACTACCAGGGTTAGGGCAGTGCAAACCAGTCACTCAAGTGCAGTGGTTTAGTAATCACATGTCCTTAATCCTAGCATTGCACATTCCAGATTTAGCTACTTCAAAAAAGACTGCATGAGGCTTTGGGGGGGACATCAAGTCACAATCCACAACACTGCTCCTCCCTCCAGCCCTGTCCACTGTGTGCATCAGAGGGTCGAGCCTGGGAGTCCAGTACCCAGGTTATTTCCCCCCACCTTCCCCACCCATACCTCCTGTCCTTGTGCCGTGATCTCCCCATCCCCTCCGTCTCCCCCTACTTCTGCTTGGTAGCCAAGCTCAGTACTGAATATCCTGCCCCAGACCCAGTGCTTGGCTCTCAAGAGGGCTCATCTCTCCTTTCCCCACATGATGGTGGATGAGTTCCACATTATCTTCTTGTCCACCTGCAGTGGTAAGCATGCACATAAAGTCTCAAAGACTGTAAGAATTCCAGTTTTCTGTGCCAAGAAGTGGGGTATAAGGGTTGGCAAAGGGTTCCTGATAGGGAATCCCTGAGTGAATGATCAGGGGCATGGGGCTTTGCTCCTGACCACTGAAGTAATCAAAAAATAATCTATTACTGTCAACAAAGTAGAGAACTTGCTCATCTATCATTTTTCCAAGGACATTTCCTGGGAGCCTTACTCTTCTTGTCTCTAAGAAGGTAAAAAACTGGCTTAGTTCTCAGGAAACATGGTGACTATCAGGAAGTGTTAAAAAAATCCGTAGGAGGAAAGGAAGTGGAGTCAAGATGACACAAGACAACATGTGCTTTGTGAGGCAGAAAAGACACTAAAGGGTCTGCGTTTGCATATGTACACACACAAAAAGCACTAAAAGATCTGCATTTGGCGAAGACTGTTCCCACCAAATGAGAGAAGACAGCCACCAACTAGATAACAGGGCAAAAAGTCCACATCTCTAAGCAGACTGTGGGTGAGTATGAGCGCTCCTAGAATGGGAAGAGGGGAGCACCCCAAGCTCTGTTAGGCTTCGTCCAAGGGGATTCATAAAGCCAGAGCTTAACCAGAATTTAGACTCAGCGAAGGTGAGGGGATACAGGCCCCATGTTCTTAAAGTCAGACATGAGGCCCAAGAGGCCCAAGAACTGCAGCTGGGCACTGGACAATTCTCCATTTCACTCAAGGGAACTATTTTAGCTGGAAGAACTCCTCCCTGAGGCACACCTCACTGTATACCCTGCTGCTTTGACACGACAGAGCAAAGTTGTCTCCAGGTTGCCCCAGTAACCAGAGACCCCCAAATGGGCTGGGGTCCACACGGGGTCATCGCTGAGTGACAGCGCACTGAAAGGACAGGAATGTCCCATACTCCATGGACCCAGAGGCGCATGGGGCTGAGGGAGGCCTTTGGGCCAGGGACATTCAGCACAGCCCAGCGGTCTTCACTGCCCACCAAGGGTCTGGCTTCAGGAAGCTCTGTGTCACTGGAACATTTGCCCAGCAGCTGCAGAGCCAGGCAGGCAGCTGTGCTCAGCACTCCACACCCTGGGATGTGAAACTGGGACTTAGTCCAGAAGGAGGCTCCTTGTGGCCCGGTGAGAGGTGAGCAGGGCTACCACATTGCCCAAGGTCAAGCCTTGGGTTGGGACTTCTAAATTGTCAAGCCCATCTTGGGCTTCAGGAATGCATAGGGACCTTGCCCCGCAGGAGTGAGGGATGGGGATCCCGGTCTCCTGGCAGGTACTGGGGTGGGCACAAGACAGAGCTCAGCCACAGGGCACAGGGACACATCCCAGAGTGCTGACCTTGCCACTGACACCTCTGCTGAGCGTAGAGCAAGTGGCTCCCCCTCTTACCCTGGTGCCTCGTTCCTACTCGGCAGGTCTGCAGCAGCTCCCTAAGGGAACAGCCAGCTCTGGAGTTTGATGATTTGAGTTTATGGTGTCC